AGAGAGCCAGGTGTGAGGCAGCCTTTCAAGCTGATCTTAAAAGTCATAGTCAATAAAGCCTGTGGTTTTCCCCACATGGATTCTTGTGGGATTCACCTTGAGACAATCTGGGGGATGTTGACTGTGTTTCTTGTTTCCTACCAAAATCCACTTTGCCACTCCTAAAATGTGGATCAGAGCAGATGGGGAAGTCTTTCTCCATCTGGGTTCTTCGTTTTTTCTCTCCTCCTTCAGAGATTGACTGGATAGAAAAGGAAAATAATATTTTTTTTGTGAGCATTTTGCTATATATCAACCATTGTTGATTTTCCCAACAGGTCTATGAGGTAGGTATCATTTTCCATATTTTTAGGTGAACAAACTTAGGTTAGGTGTTTCTTAAGGTCAATGTTTAGAAAGTGGCAGATGTGGGATTCAGAGCATATCTTTTTGACCACAAAATCAACCCCCATACAGTGGTTCCCAAAGAATAAACTCAGCATTCATCTGTGTCACCTAGAACTAGTCAGAAATGTGAATTCTTGGGCCCCATCCCAGACACGTTGAATCAGAAGCTCTGGGGTTGGGGTCAGAAATCTTGCCTCAACAAGCCTTCCATGCCATTTTGATGCACACTGAAACTTGCATTTTGGGTTCCTTTAATTTGGATACCCATTTGTAAAAGAAGAGAATTCACAATTTTCTTAGCCTTCCTAATGGATCATTTATAGCATGGTGTTTCTTCTGACTTAGATTGATTTAACACATCTCAGCTTCCTACATCGTAATGCCATTCACCTGTCTTCTGTTTATATGTCATTAACAAAAGGGAAGTTCTCATCCATGTATATATATGTATGTATGTATACACACAGATATACATGCAGTTAAAGGTGTTATTTTATTAGAAATACATGGAAAAGTATTCAACTGATACATTTCTAAACCAGTTAATGAGAATAGTTTTATAAATCAAGATTCATATGAATAATTTAGAAATGGTTATGGAATCCCTTTTTTTTTTTTTTGATGGCCTAGCAAATGGTCTATCTTGGAGAATGTTCCATGCACACTGGAAAAGAATGTGTCTTCTGCTGTTACTGAGTTGAGTGCTCTGTAGATGCCTCAATCTGGTTTTTTTAATAAAGCAACCACAGGAGTGTAGAGGCCAGTGTGTGAGAACCCTGGAGCCCAGGCTTGGGTGCTCCTCAGTATTGGGGGAAAGGGACAGCAGGTGTGGTTTGTAAATGCCGATGCAGCGAAAAGGCTGAGCATGAGTCACCATCTGGCCCTTAGTAAGATGTGACCCCCTACAAAATCATGTGATTCCTGCAAGCCACCCATTCCTTCTCATTGGGGGGGGGGAGCAATGATGACAACCACGTTATGGAGGAGAGTATGTATAAAAGACTTCTGCAAACCATCAGTGATGATTCTGACTTGTGCTTGAATTCCTTGAGCCACCCATACTTCTTGCTCTTCCAAGATAGGCACTGAATTTAGGGAAACAGGAATCCTATGACTCCAATACTGACCCTGCCATTAAGGAAACAATTTCCCCAGTTCTGTATTCACTGTCAACTTTTAGTCTGTGACATTGAATAAGCCAAACAATGACCTGCTTAGCAATCATGGCAACATACTATATTCTCTAAGATTTTCATGCATGTATAGCTTTTCTAGCTAATTAGCATTCTCCTTTGTGCAAAGTTTTTAATTTCTCATTTTATCTCAGGTATCTTGTTCCTATTTTCTGTCCCCTCCTCAGGCGATTTCACATAAAAGAAAACTACTCTCCCTCCTCATTTCTAAGACTTTTCAGAGGTTTCTGTTGCCATCTCTCCATCTGAGTCTTACTAAGGTAGTTGTTACATTATTTTAGAGATGTCTTTATCCTTCCCTCTGCCTATTCATCCCATGGCTCAACTCCCATTGCCAAGGGCCAATATCATTCCTTGTACTGCTTAGCCAGAATCCTGATGCTACAGACAGCAGTATGCTTTGGACTGGAGAATTTTAAAAAAGAAAAAAGCAAAGAAAAGAAAGAAAAGAAACCCTTGGTGAAAAACTACAATGTTCCAGGCACTGAAGCCAATGCAGAGAAGTGGTCATAAAGCTGCCTGGTGGGAATGCACCACAGTACCTGACTTACTCTAATCCCATTTGGTTAATGCTGCTCTAAATAACTGGCATTAGAATTGTGACATAAATCAAGGCTTTCACATCCATTTAGCAATCAAAGGGGGAAAGAGCCTCTAGGAACATGATAATGGGCTTCAACTACAGCCTGATTACATGAAGGGGACCAGAGAGTTCTGGAGGGGCTTTCCAGAAACAAGTCTGGGGGGACCTCAGATCAGCGAAGAGAGATAAGACGAAGGGACCACCAATTTCTCTGCAAACGCCCAACAAGGAAGGCTGGACACTAGATGGCAGCAGCACCACACGTGTCCCTTCCCAATTAAACCTCCAGGTCTTGGGGGAAAAAAAATCACATTAACACACAAATACAACCAGATGACAAAATCAGCCTATCTTATTTGACAGCCCTCTCCCACCCTCATCCTATGTATGATCGAGAAACGATTTGGCAGGAATCATCGTAACTCTCTGATATACGAGCTGGGCAAAGAAAATGCTCCATATAAATAATAGCAAAAATGGGTAGTTACGGTTACTGGGATCATTGTTTCTTAAAAATGGGAATCAAAAAAAATGGGAATCAGAGTTTTTGTACCCCAATGAAAAGAGGTGGTATTAAAGACTTTAAGCAGGACGGACCCAAGGAGAGTGAAGTTCAAAGGACGACCTGGGACTGTCACAGTTATGCGTAAAGGTGTTCAACTGTGCACTCAACGTTGCTGATTGGGATCCTAATAAAGTAAAAATCATCTATACATCCTAGACCAGGAGGGTTAGATTTTGGAAATGTTTTTTAATGGGAGAAATCCCTCTTGGTGACATGAGTCATTAAGGATAGCAATGGAAAGATAAGACACTGTTTCTCAAGAAGTCAGCTCTCCTAAAAGAGATATATATTGGTGGGGGCTGGGAAGAGAAGCTGGAAATGAACTATTGGAGCACCTAATGGGTGTTAAACATTTTTGTTGACTTACGGATTTACAGGTATCAACTGGGATCTGATTTGAAATCACAGAGGGGTGATCCTCACCTCTACCTGCTTAGTTCAGCCTAAAGACTAACTCATGGATTCCACTGGGAATTCCTAAATGACTGAGCCATTTGCCTTCTTATTCTCCCTCCAGGGATAACTTCAGCAAAATGGGAAAATCAAAGTCATGTGGAAAATCAAAGTCATATATGTATGTGGAAAATCCAAGTGATGTATGAGACTATAACTTTCAGGAAATAAAATTGGGTTCCTCATATTTGGAACCTCATGTCCCCGTGAGAGGAACATTAGTTTTGATGGTGGTTTCAATGGTTCCTGGTAGGCTGTAGGGAGACTCAGAAAATCCTGCTTTGGTGCTTACATTTCAAGATTGTAGCCCTTCATTTTCTGGATGGGTTATCACATTCTTATGTAACCTAGAGACCACTGGGGCAAGGGGAATATAAGAAAAATAAGGCAGGAATATAAAAAATTATTATGAAATTGCCAATCAATTCAATCTTGAATTCTGACTGAGACAAAACACGGGTGGAATCAAGCACCATGAGCAATTGCCAACCATGGGCTCTCCATTCCGCCAAAGGCATTCAGTGATGTGAAGGATTCAGTGTTTAGTATCACTGATGACTGTTAATGTTTTGGGACATAGAATGTAATCCTCTTTTACTAAGGTGTGGGGTGTCCATGTTCTGGTTCTCTCCAATCTTCTCAACCTTTTTGGTCAAGAATGGTGAATCCTTTCAATGTCCCTTTGTTAGTGCTAGCACTCACTCGCAATTTCTTTCTTCTGTGTACTGAACACAATTCCCTTAAATGCCTTGCCTTACATATTCCCCCCAGAGATTGCATGAATACCTTTTCTATTTGGGGAGGGTGGAATCTGGTTCATTCTATGTCCTACTGCCGTTCTAGAGCTCTCTTCTCTCTCTGCTAGCTTCATCCCTTGGCAGATTCAGAAAGGAGCTCTCTTTTAAAGTCCCTACCCAGCCCATTAAATTTGATACAGAGTTTCACTTGAAGATTTGCCAACATGCCACCTCTACTAACCAGATCTTGCTATGAATTCTAGACATTCTTCCTGATTTCGAATTAAATCTGAACCTAAGTTTGTTCAGAGATAACCCTAACACAGCCTAAGTCAGGAAATAGGAAAAATCATTCTAACTTCTTGCACATAGTCACCATCCCAAAGATCTCTAAAAAATAATAATATATATTTTTAAAATTATGTTCCTTTTCCTCCCTTGGGGTTAGAGCTTGTGTGTTCTCTTTCCACCCGCAATTTTTTTCTAAGTTACGCAGGGGACTTGTCTCAGGTCAACAAGGAGAGAGAGGGATCAGCAGGTGGAGGCCAGCGTCTGCCCCCGCAGAATCCCTCCAGTTTGCCTGAGTTGCTGGGTTGCATTGCCTCTCCTCGCGTGTGGCGTGGGTGTCCCTCACCCGAGCGCCCAGCGAGGCTCCTTTCTCCAGCCTGCGCGCTGCTGCGCGGGAGGCCGAATGGAGCGCGGCACGGCGCAGGGAGCCCGAGGGCCCGAGGCTGGGCTCTGTCTGGGATTGCGCCGTGCCCAGACTCCTTCCCCTCTCTGTGGGTAGGGATGGTTGAGTCCAGCCGCCACGGCAGCGGCTCCTTGTGCCGCTAGCAGCCTGTCTTCTGCGCTCTCCGCCTTCCCTCTCTAGGCTGGCTCTCCTCCCCCCGCGCCCCCTCCCTCCCTCCCGCAGCTCCCACTCGCTGGCTCTCTCTCCAGCTGCCTGGGCTCCAGGTCTCTCCTGGCTGCGCGCTCGCTCCGCGCCTGCCCCCTCCCGCAGCCTCGCCTCCTTGGTGCCTTCCTGCCCAGCTCGGCCGGCGTGTCCCCGGCCCGGCCCGGCAGCCCGGTCGGCGCCCGGAGCCGCTCAGCCCTGCAGTGGCTCGGGACCGATGCTATGAGAGGGAAGCGAGCGGGGCGCGCAGACCTGCAGGAGGCGTCGGATGCGCGGCCGGTCTGGGGACAGGGATCTGTCTCCGGCTCGCCTTGCCCTCTGGTGATTATTTGGCTCTGTTCATAGCCCTGCCGTTCCTCGGAGGAGACGGGCACATCTGAGAAGAGCCATCGGTGTCATGTGCGTGTGGAATATCTGCAGACATGACTGCGTGGAGGAAATTCAAGTCGCTGTTCCTGCTTCTGGTGCTGCTGGTTCTGTGCGCGGGGCTCCTCACTGCAGCGAAGGGTAAGACAGTCTTACTTGCTACCGGGGAGATGGGCGAGCCCTCCGAGGCCCCGTTTGCGAACGCAAGTGTGTGTGTTGAGGAGGGCAGGGTACCCGGGCGCTGGCGTCTGCCGGGGGTTCTCCATCACGGACGCTGGGGGAAGGCAATGCCCGAGAGCAGGGCTTCCATCGCCTTCTTCCCACCCTTGTCTCGCCCGCCTCTCCTTCCCTTCACTTGGCTGGCACGACATGCTCTCTTTTTCGGTGGTGTGGGTTGTTGGGGAGAAAGGAGCCAGACCCGAGTTGGGCTGAAACTGCGCTGTGGCGGGCGATGTTGCCTGCTTGGAGAGGTGGCCCAACGGGTGGCCGTGGCTGGGGTGGTTCCCAGGACTTTGCCCGGAGCCCGAGCGGCTGGGAAAGTGGCCCGGGCGAAGCTGGCCTCGTAAGTTCTGGCTCAACAGGGGCTTGGGGGAACCAACAGGCGAGCCTGCCTGCTGCCCAGGCTCCCCGCACTCTTGCAACCACTCGGCGGTCCCTTCTTCCCCCTCCAGCGTACTCAGGGAGTGAGTACCTCCGTAAGGTCGCCCCCGCCTCCCTCTCCCTGGACCTCGCTCCTTGCAAGTTGAAAGGAGCAGGCAGGGTGCGTGAAGAAAGCGGGGAGACCTGGCTGGGGTTCCACCGCATTTGTATTCGCTGTGGCCACAGTGCTCTACCCCTTGCCACCTCTGGTCGAGAGAAGGAGTCTCCCTGGGTCAGTCCCGGGGCTCGGAGCTCTGTGAACTTGGTTTTCTCCTTGAAACGAGTTGGGGAATGTTTTCCTCTAACTAGCCTACAGGCTGCAATCTCCGGGCTGGCAATATCTCCAGTACTTGTCTATTCTCTGGGAAAGAAAACAAGCTCCCTCTTGATTCCGGGAGAGGGAGGGGAGGAGGAGGGGGAGAGAGGGGATATTGATTGATTTTCACATTGGAAAGTACCTGCCCCCATTTCCTCATTTGGGCCTCCTTGGATGCTTCTCCTATCAATCAGCACCCCATCGTCCCACTCCTGGGAATATCTATATCTATATAGATTTTTTTTTTCTCTTTGCCTTTTTAAAGGATGCTGTCAAATCTTGAGTGTGCGTGTGTTTTCTGATGGCCATTTGCTCTTTCCCCACCTAAAATTCCCCCTTTCCTCTCTAGAGTCTTCCATCTTTTTTTTTTTTTCCCCATTTTCTATTCCTTCAGTGTTCCAGATTCGAGGGTGATTGACAAGGCGAAGGAGGACTATCTCTGGTTCCATTAGGAAACTCCAGATGGGCCTGGGTGGAGAGAGATGGAGAGAATGGCAGATTAGGCTTCCCCTCCTGGCTGCTCTTCTCCACCCGGCGTCTAGGGAGGGTTGAGAGCTGACCGCAAGGCACTAGACCCTCCACGCACGCACTCACCCCTACGAAAGGGTGTCTGTGGGAATGCGCCCCAAGATCTCAGGGAGCGCAAATGTTTGCTGTTAGTCTCCTGAGCTCCTGGTCGCTCGGAATCAGGGACCTTCCTGCAGACACCTACCCTCTGCCCACCGGCCCGGCTCGGTCCAGACGCCCCGCCTCGGGCTCCACTGTTGGGAGCTGCTGCGGAGGCACGGCCGGCGGAGCAGGGGCGGGTGGGTAGCGGCCTTGGGTCGTGCTGGACTGGCTGGGGACAGAGAGGCGATGCAGGAAAAGTCGAGGGCAAAGAGAGCTACCCCTGGGAAGTGCGTGCAGGGCTTTTTCTCAGGTCCGGGAAGGGGCCTGCGGACAGGACCTGGTTTTGCCTAGCCAAGTCCCTGCATGGAGAGGGAACACCTGCTACGCAACTCAGCAAAACTTCCCACCCCTTTCCTCTGCACTCAAAGTCCAGCTGTGCCGGGGGCCGCCTCCTTCCCCGGGCAGGCAGCGCAGCCGCTGAGCGCATTCTCGGTTCCCCGTGGTTCCGCGTGCTCCGAGCGCCCTTCCCCCGCAATTAGCAGGGGCTGCTGCGTGGAGACAGCGGCGGCAGCCCTGCCGGAGCTGCTTAGTAATCCGCACACGTGTGCCGGGCCGATTCCGCCCCCTCGCGGGTGGGCCGAGGCAGTCCGCCGGGGCTGGGGGGAGGGTGTGTACCGATAGGTCTTGGGCGGGGGCTGCTGGGGCAGATCCTGGGGCTAACCAGGCAAGGGCGCAAAGTCCCTGGCGCCCCGAGCCTGGAGGAGCTGCCATTGGGAGGAGAGCGCCTCCTGCGCCCTGGGGGTCCCAGGTCAGGGATGTAGAAGCCAAGAAGTGGAGTCCAGGGTCCCAGGCCCCTGGCGCGCGCTGCGTGAGAGTAGGGTGTGCGTGTGTGCGTTTGCGCGGGGAGGGGACCGGGCGACCGCGCTCACTGCGCTATTGGAGACCTAGGTTGTGGTGGGGGCGCGAGGCTCCTTTATCACCCCGGCGGGGCCCGCGGGGCTGGGCCGGCGTTTTCTCTGCGCCCGAAGGGTCAAGTGCGAGCGCAAGTGGCCGCGTGGGAGCGGGCTGCAGGCGGGAGGCTGGTGACGCCAGCCCTGGAGTCGCCCTGAGAGCGCTCTGACAGCTAGGGCGAGGTCACAGTCCCCCTGCCTAGCGAAGCCCTGGTGGTCAAGGTCGGGCCTCTGCCCTGGGGCTTGGGCCCCCGCGGTGCCTGCGAGCCAGCCATAGCGCTTCCCGGTGGAGGAGCGCTCCAAGGAAGGCGCCGGCCACCGCTGCGGAGCAGCGCAGCGTGCGCCCAGGTGGCGGCTCCCGTTGTGCCGAAGGCAGGAGGAGAGTTTTGATGCGTGCGGTATAATTCGTGACCTTTTTTCGGAGTCGTGAGAGGCTGCAGGCGGCCGCAGTTGCGGTCATTAGAACCCGGGACCATCACCACCCGGGTCATCAGCTTTAGTTGATTGTGCTTTACGCTTCGGTGCAAACTTGGGGGTACCCGGAATTCAATTTTGATGTCCTTTTTCTTTTTGATTATTAATATTGTAAAGGTCGAGTCCCAACCGTGCATACCTCCTCAAAAACAGCACATTTTCAGGGACCAAGGGGAGGGAAGAAGGCTTTAAGAGTTTTCATCTAGCAAATAGGTGGCATAACTCATTCGGTGAGCTCTCAGATTTGCACCCTTATCTGGGGCTGATCTATGGGCTGTTTGGGTGCGCAAAGTTTGCTTTGCTTCTAGATTGTTTCTTGTGTATGTGCAGCGACAAGAATGCAGTGATTTGCAAGCATTACTCAGAAAGCGTCCTAAAAAAGGAGCACGTAATAGGAGCTCCATGGTCTCCCTGTAGGAAGCCTGGGAATGAAAGGTGGAGTGCTTATCAAAATTCCTAATTCTAACGTTAGAATTCACTAACCCACCCAGCAAAGAGATTTAAGCATGCATTACCAAATTTTCACAGCAACCATATAACTCAACACACACATACAGAGAGAGAAAAAGAGAAGCCTTCCCAAATCTGTGTGCTTCTAGATGAGTTACCTTGTTAACAATTCGTATCACCTGGAAGGATGGTGAGCCCTTACATTTGCTGACCACATTGCTTTATGGTTGAGCAACCCCACATGTACTCTCTCCTGGGGAAGCCAGGAATTCTTGTAAATAAATGGCTTTCACAGACCCCCCCCCCAATATGTTAAATACTAAAATGTGAGTCATATAAAGGGAAGTTAAGATTTCTGCATTCATGATTTTACCAAATCATGGGTATTATTATTATTATTTTTTGGCATTGTGAGGGGATTAAGTTTTGTTTTGTTTTTCAATGAGGAACTGTTCAGCCAAAAGCCCTGGTGCTTCTGGATTACCTCTATGCTCTTAGTTTGGGATTATAAATCTGTAGAAAGGTAAGCGAAGGGAAGGCTTTCCTCCAAAGTGGCAGGTTGTGTAAACTTGAATAGCGGGGCAATGAAATCTCAATAAACAAGTGCAGAGGAGCAAATAGCAGGTGGTAAAATGGTCCTAGAATCCCCCCAGGGTCCCCAGCATCTCCACCAACACAGGCCCCAGAGGAAAGGGAATCGCTATTTGTATATTGGCTTTCAGCAGGCCAATCATGCTTGAGAGCTTGTTTGGAGGTTCCAGCAGGGGAGCGCAGCTACTCCTATACCCTTGACAGAAGAACGGTCCTCCTCTATCGGGGAAGGTCGTCCTCTTCGACCGAGCGCGCAGCTTCGGGAGGGACGCACATGGAGCGGTGAGGGAGGAAGGGGACACCCGCCTAGCCAGCCAGATCAGCCGAATCAACCCTGGCGATCAATGGGGTGACAGATGTCGCAGCCAGATCGCCCTCACATCCAGGCCAGTCATGCTTGATAAGAAGACTCCTTAGGTACTGATTCTAAGTTCCTACAAACAGGTACAATGGGCTCCTCCTGAGGGCAATGCCTCCTTCCTCTCCAGTTTATTGTCTCAAACAAACACCAACAGTTCTTCGAAAATGTCAAGAAAATGGTTCAGCTTCCTTTAAGAAATAGATAAACAAAGGCTCAGTGACCGCTTAGTGCTCACTGCAGAAGATACAGCAAATCCAGTGTAGACATTTCTAAGCTGTCAAAATGCAAATGGCATATTAAATACTCTGTGCTCTACTGAATTCTAAATGTGCCTCTGGTAGGTTTTCTGCTGAGCTCATAGTGAAAATAAGCCACTATGACTTGCGTACATGCACTTTAAGCTGTACTTTCCCCTTTGGCCTTTTATATTTCTTCTCCTTAGGTTCATTTCCCTATAGACTTAAGAAGTTGAACGGGTCCTCCTTGCACAGAGTAGATGACAAAGTTCGGTGGGCTTATTTTAATTGCCTTTGTTGAGCTAAAAAATCAGAGGAAGACGTCTGGGTCAAGGCATAGATATTCTACAGCCTACCATATATGTACCTTGTAATATGGGCATAGGATTGCTGGGCCGGCGGCAATAAGGGATAGACGCAGACCAGCTCTACTCCATGGTCTAGCCACTGTAAGGACCAGAGATGGGAATTGCTTGAAACGTTAGAACTGGCTTGGCTGTGCCACCTGAAGCAAA